TGATGCTGAATGTGGGCATGCTTATTTTGTGTCTTCCATCGTCAATTTATTACCTGCCAGTCTGTCAATCTGTGCGCAACTAGGTGTGCAAAATGAACTAGCCTGTGTATTTGTAGGTGTGTGTGTGCTTAAGTATCACCACAAGCATAATTCACGAGTATTAACGTCTATTTATTTATTTTAATATTAATGAGAGGTTCTGTACGGATGAATGGGCGCAACAAACAAAGGCTGGGAAATGGAGCTCTGAGTGTGTGTGTGTGTGTGTGTGTGTGTGTGTTTCCCTATTTAATTGGTTCCCTGTTGTGTGCACGTCCATAGAAGTATATGTTAAATGTGAAAGGGGAGAGAGGATAAGCGAAAGCTAAACAAGGACAGACAGATGTGATAATCTGAATGTCCTTGGGCTATTGTTAGCTGAGCTGGGTGTGTAACTGGGTGTCTCTTCAGGGTGATTTGGTGGTTTGAGAGAGTATGTTTGTCAGCCAATTGCTGGCAGATATCGGTTAACCTGCGGCATGTGGGGAAATGGAGTGATGAAGAGTAGGATGGACAAATGAATAAAGTGTGTAAAGTGACTGTGATGAATGGAGAAATAAAATGAATAGGTTTCTACAAAGGTGTTTGCATATAGGATTAGTTGGAAGATCACATAATTACTTGAATAAATCAGTTAGGAAAGGAGGTAAGGAGGGATTTAATGGACGTTTAACAAAAATATTGATCAAGTGCAAAAAGTGGAAACAATAAGCAATCAGCAAGCAAATACTTTAGATTTTTGTAGGGACACACTTATGAGTGCAGAATATGTTTTAAAAGCAAACAAGGTCAGAATCGTGAGTACAATAAAAGCTTCCTTTGCTTGCTTGTTTTTTTTGTTTGTATCCCTCTCATGGAGGAGGATAGATGGATGATGAAGGAAAGTACAAAATACAGAGGGTAATTCAAGTTGTCTATACATTTGATTGTTATACTCCCTAAATTTTTTAACACTTATTCCATCATGGGGTTCAGTTTGTGTTGTGTGTCACAGACAGTATCAGGTTGTGTATGAAATGTTTGCGTGTGTGCTTTTACAGCTTTTCCCTCAGTGTGACTTGTGCATTTGTGTGTGGTCATGACTTGCCCTCAGGTGTGTGGGGCTCTGTTTTGACTGTATGTGAGAGATTGTTTGTGTCCATGTCTTGTGTGTGTCAGATTATATTTGGGTCCAAACGATCATGAGGAAAGGTGAAGGCTTCTATTGACTTACAACCATGTGTGTGCGCGCGCGCGTGTGTGTGTGTGTGTTAAGATGTGAGGACTCTGCCAGTGGGTACTTTGGCATCTAAAAGCAGCACAAAGTGCCAATAGAGACAGCTACATGATAAAACCCGAGAGCCTCGAGGGCAGGGGCAATGATCCGTCTGTGTGTGAGAGAAAGAGAAAGAAAGAGAGAGAGAGAAGGGAAATATGACACTGTTTTTTTAGAGATTGAATGTGTGTTCATGTCTTTGTTTGAGAAAGAAAAAAATCTATTACATCCATTATTAATGTGTATGTATTTTGGTTTGTTTATTTGTTTATCTATTTGTGTGTGTGTGTGTGTGTGTGTGTGTGTGTGTGTGTGTGTGTGTGTGTGTGGGTGTGTGTGTGGGTGTGTGTGGGTGTGTGTGTGGGTGGGTGTGGGTGTGTGGGTGTGGGTGTGGGCGGGTGTTCAGAGCCATCGGCAGATTCTAAAGTGGGTCCTTAAGGAGCCATATGTCTTAAGGCTAGTTTCAAATCCTGTCTGCTCTGTTTATATGGAGGGCACTGGGTGTGGGTGCTTTTGTGTGCAGCTGCTAAATGTCAGACAGTGTGTGTCCAAATATGCTCAAGGAAAAAGAAGATTGAGCATCTACTCCTATGTACCTTTTTATGTGGGTGATTGTGTATACAGTATGTGTATTTGTGCGCTGCGTGGGTGTTTCTGCCTCCCTAGACACTTCAGACTAGCTCCTATTTGACTGGCAGCCAAATCTGTGTTCATTTTTCATCTGCATTTGTTTGGGTTGTTGTTGTTTTGCACACACTTCTAAAAAAACAGAATCACAGTCGGCATACTTTTTTTCCCCTTTTCCCCTGCGTACATTCACGTTCTAATCAAGTACTAATTTACATATTTCATTCAGTTCATTGCCTGATAGGAAGGAAAACCAGCAGCACTCTGTTAAGCTGTTGATGTGGAAAAAGAACCACTGCTTTAGAGATTAGGGCAAGACGTTCACGTTAGGTATAAACCTACAGAAGGCTCTCAAGTGACATAACACAACCTTTGTTGAGTATATTGAAGGCCCTCAAAACAACAGTGACAGTGAATAGCTGATTGTATTACTTAAAAATGACACATGGTCACTTTCTGCTGTTTGTTTGTGGAGGCTGAACATTTAAAGAAGGTCTGGCTGCAGCCTGTAGCATTAGCATGGATTTGAACCCGGGTCACTGCTGTAAGGCCTTGCGAGCTTTACCAACTGAGCTAACACGCCATCTAGTTTTCAAATTAACTTTGACCCAGATCCAGTAGTGATGTCACAGCCCTTCATTTGCCCATTGTGGGTTTAGGGATTTAACTGGAGGTTCACATTGCACCCACTCATGCCGCACCCCCTGGTCTACAGGCTGCAGCTGTTCTTCTCGATCATTTCCGCACCTATGGAGTTATTTTAGTATAATCACAAATTGAATGTGAATTTAATAGTGTTGAATTTGAAATGTTCAAACCCATTCTCACTCCATGACTCGTCACATATGGACGCATGTTCAAGACCCAACGGCGTCAGTTTGTAACGCACAGGGGATCCCCAGAGCGTCATATTTCAGCGCAGTGGGGGCATATGATATTTAACAGCAAAGTAAGGACATGGTTGGGGTGGATGGAGGGCCAGAACCCGGACTTTGAACCAGGAGAGCGGTGTTTGTGTCCCGTGTGAAACAAAAAGTTAACAATAAATATTTTTATTGAAGTTAGGCAAGTTACGTGAATTGTGTAAGTTACGTAACTGACATACATAGTTATTTTAACCCAAACCATGACCTTTTCCTAACCTTAACCAAGTAGCTTTATTGCCTAAACCTAACCAAGTTCTTTTTGTGCCTAAACCTAACTAAACTGCAACATTTCACAACTTTAATAATATGCTGTATCAAAATGGCGATGTTTAAAAATGCTAGCGTTTTAATTTGAAAGTGTAACTGGACGTTGCATATTTATTGTTGCTACCTTTACCGGACCTTATATATTTGTTGTTGCTAAGCGTTGCTAACTTGATTGCGGAGCCCTAAATGTCTAAAAATGACGCAAAAGGGGTACCCAGGGCTTTAAAAGGCGATGCCAAAGGGCCATGACCACTCGTCAACACGTGACGAGTTGGGAGTGAGAGTATGTTGGAATTTTGTACGCTAAATTTGAAATTATATTTCATAGATTGAAATTGAATCTAATGATTTGAAATTTAATTTTACTTGTATTGCTTTCAGTTCCTCAAGTTCAGTTTCTTAAGATAATGTCGGCAGTTATAAAGCTACCTTCAGCAGTTGTGAAGCAGCAGTTGACAACCTAACTTGACTTTTGAACTACTACTACTACTACTACTGTGAACCGTTGCGATGGCTCAGTTATCAAGTTAACTTCAGCTTGGTAGCTTTAATGAGCTAACTTAGCAGTTATTAAGCCAGTATATTAGGAAGCAGGTGGATGTGCTATGTTTGCTTTGCCAAGCCTACCAGCTGCCTAACTGTTTTGGAAACTAAAGACAAAATTGTTTGGACAGAATCTTAAATTGGTATCGATTTTGGGTTCAATTCGCCCCCCTTTGAAAAGTATGGAAGTTTAACAAAAATATTGGATCAAGTGCAAAAACGTTTCTGTTTAACTCCGAAGCCACGTTTGATAACGCGAGTTACCCAAAGTTCCTGGAATCGGCATTCTGATATTGTTTAGTAAACAGGAAGCATGTGGTCTTGCGTCTTGACAGAATCATCTGGTGTGCACGATAAAATATAAAATTGGTGAAATTTGTCATTATGTCTGTGGAATCCCACGTTTTAAAAATCAAGATATGAAAATCCTCTAGTGTGCATGAGGCATTACGTTGTAAGTACAAGTTAGTTAGTTAGTACAGTTAGGTTTGTGCAACAGTACATGCAGATTGATTCTAGGTGCATGTTTGATTTTTCAGTTTGGTAATAACATTGTTTTCTGAATAGGCAATGCTAGAAATGGGAGTATTTAATCACTGACGTATTGCTTGAATTAGTTGTGTCAGTATAAGATAAGACAGACTTCGACCTCTTCTGGTGCTTCTGGTGTCATTTAAATCTTTCAAATTACATTTATAGCCTAATGAGTAAAATATTAAGATCACGACAATATTTTATCTTAACCATATTTAAATTCAGCATGTTAACCTAAAGCTCTGTGGGTTTGATCAAAGCTTGGTTGCACAGCATGTGTTCATTTTGATGGACTTGCCAGTGAGTTCAGTAAGGTCAGCGCTCATGAAAATTAATTGCCTGAAGTCTCTGTGGAACAAACACCAAAATGGAAAAACTGTCCAGGGACTGATGGAAAATCTTAAACCATTTTATTTGACGTATCCTTTTATGTTGGTGCAGGAAAGGATGCTGGAAATGTGTATATTAATGCTGTACGATGGGGCATGGCTATTTATATACAGCATATCCTAAGACTGTGAATGTAATGCAGTTATGTGCTTTTGTTCTATATTTGTGTTTCTTTAAAGATAATACTATGCCAACCAGTTTGTCCTTGTAAAGGGGACATTTATTGGGAACATTTTTAATATTTTTTACTGCCCAAAGCACATACTCATTTAGTTTGGTGATCTCTTACTGAGTCACTGATTCTGACATTTTGTTTAGCTTTCCTGTGTCATTGAGATTATTGTGACATTGCTGTTGCAATTCCTACTGAGGTTTAGCAGAGGTTGAAGTAATGAATTCTTTTCATTTTTAACCCCCAGGTGATCGATGTGAGTTTGATCGACGGCAGGGCAGGTGTGTGCCAGGTGTGTGTCGTAATGGAGGGACGTGTCGGGAGCTTTCAGGTGGGGGTTTCCGCTGTGAGTGTCCTGCTGGAGGCTATGAGCGTCCATACTGCACAGTCACTGCCCGGTCCTTCCCACCGAAGTCCTTTGCCATGTTTCGGGGCCTCAGACAGAGATTTCACCTTTCCATCTCGTTAACGTGAGTAAATTGAGTGTAATCTGCTCTTTGTCTTTCTCTGCTCTGTCTTTCCTTTTCTTCTCTAAATTGCCATATAGTTGTTTTGACTTCCTTTCTTTTAGCCTCCATCTTTCATCATCCACTTGCAGACAGAGATCCATAACCACTCCTCTTTGATTCTCAGTTCTCTGCCTCTGACTCTTCCTCTTCCCTTTGCTTGAATCTATTTATTTCATCTCTGTCTCAGCGATCGATCCTATTATTCATGGTGTTTCTCTCGGCTGCCTCCACTTCTCTCTCCACTGAGAAGTGCGGTTTCTCCCCTCTGCTCTTTCATCTGTCAACTTACTGGGTTCAGTAACATGCTTTGCTTTCCCTCTTTCCACTCTCTCTTCTTATTGTACATCTTATCATGTGGTAGTCTTGTTTTTAAGTCTTGCCTCTTTCAGCAAGGGCTCCAAAGGTAAATGCTTCATTTTCTGGTGACCCTATGCTCATTTTGTGAAGTGGTGAGAAAAAAAGGCAAAAAATTTTCTAAGTCTGAGACTGTGGGCCTCCCCTCAGACAAAGCTTTGGAAAAGGCACCCCCTCACCCCCTTAGTTTACTTGCTTAGTTTTGCTCAATAACCTGAACACCTATGGGATCATCATTATGTTATTTGATCCCACAGACACTCAACAATTGAGCCAAGATACCCTAATATTGTTTGACAATATATATTTTGACATAACTTCAGACCTCACCAAATAAATAAAAAAAGGTCTGTCCTAAGGCATTTATTAGTTTCTGATTCTGATAAAGTTGGAAAAAAGTACTGAAACTACTGTATTTTTGAACACTTTCAACAGGAATGCTATTCTCTGTGATCTCCTCTTGATGACTAATGTAATACTTTTTCTCTTCCATTCACTGAGCCTCCCCTGAAACTGTTTGGGGTCCCCATGGGGAGGCCCAACTCACACTTTGAAAACCTCTGCCCTAGTTCAATCCAGACCAAAATAGGATTTTAGCTAGAGTTACTCCTTAACTTTTCCTTTTAAAAAACACCATTGGAGTTGTGGCTTTTTTACTTGAGTTTAATATCTCCAAATTTTGTCAAGAGAGTACTGACCTGCTTGTAACCTGTAGAGATACATAGCTACACCCTCTAACTTGTTTTGTTCAATTTTAAAATTGATGCTGTGGCATAAAGTATGTATACATTACTGCAGAGGTCAGTGATTGCCCCTTACTTTAGGACACTTTGTCTTGCTTACCCACCACCATCGTTTCCGTGCTACTCCTCTGCCTCTTTGAGAAATCTGAAGTGGTCCTTAAGAGTGGTCAGGTCGGGTTATGGGATGGTTGCCATGGGTGATGTCTTTTCTAATGATAGTTGCCAAGGTGACATTGCCCATGGGGTTGTTGCTAGGCTGATGTGGCCACCGTGGAGTGGTTGCTATGAGACATTGTGGTCAAGGAGCTTCTGTGCATTGTTGTTGCGGAAAGGCACTATATGTCATTTGAGTCATTGATTTGTAACCACTAGTTGGGCAGTGATGGTAAGTCAAAGAATGATATATGTGATGTGGCTGTTCCTTAAAGAGCAGCTCACTTTATGAGCATTTAAGAGGTTTTGTGGTAGATTGTATCCCCTGGAAGACTCCAGCGTAGAGAGTCAGGGAAGTTGTTGAACAGATACTGTTTGGTCTTCTTCAGAACTGCCCTTCTGCACATTCAGTCAAACCCATTCACATCAGGGAGCTTCAACCTTAGTCTACAGAACTACAATTTCAATGCCTTTCTCTAGGGCACCACACCAGTAAATTTAGTTTTTCAAGATCACAAAACCCATGATAATGTTGTTGGGTTAAACTACTTTCATGTTAGCCAATGGTGACTAATTTAGTAGCGTCCAATTGTAAATACACGTTGCTCTTACTACGCCAGCGTTCTTCCCCTGATGTCAGTGTTTTATTTAGTGTCCTGTTTGCTGGCAGCTACTCATTTGCCTAATTTCAGAGCAAATCAGGCCATATTATTCATGTCACTCACTTTCTCCCAGAGCATTTTATTTCTCTAGTGCAAAAATGTTTCATCTTTCACCCAAAAGCTGCTTCAGAAGCTGTTGTAGTTGTAACATGAGAAAGTATGATGGGTAATATGGCTCTATAGGGCTGTGAGAGTATAGATATGTCCTTAATGCAAAATTGTAATGTGTGCAAATCATTTGGGGTTTGTGAGAGAGGTTTATTGATTTTAAGAGAAACAGTCACCTTGAATATACTTTATTTTTGTTTTTATCTTTTTCAAATGCAGTTGTTGGATCCAAATAATGAATTTCACAAACAATACAGACAAATACAGCAAAAACAGACATATTGAACATTTTATACCTCCAGCCTCTCTCCATCTTCACTTCATATGACTCCACTCACAGTTTCCATTTACTCTGGTAAAGCTCAGGTTACACTATTTTTCCTAAGATATTTCTGGTGGCTTGAAGAGATTAAATCTGCATACTACTAGACAGGACACCACAGTGCTGTCAGAACTACAGTAGAGCCATGCAAACAACACACATGCCCGCTATTAAATAACGCTGGGTTTATTTTAGACAAAGGCAACATTCTCAGATAACACAGTTGTCACGATGGAAATGGCAATAACATGCTCCTTTCCTAATACTGCTGTATTGCAGTGATGATTCTATTGTTACAGCCACATTGATCTCTGGTGGATGTTCAAGCCAAGGATGTAAAACACAGATATAAGTAAGAATGTGTAGAAATATTGTTCCTCAAGGACTTGAGATAAGGCCACTAGTTCATAAAGCAACAAGCAAGACTTTTGGTTTCAAAACATCTTAAAGGTTCAGTGGCAGACACATTACAAAAGGTGCCATCTTCTGAGACAGCAGAGAGTGGCCAGTCAAGAAATTAGGTTTCTTTATGTAGATATATTCAGAAATGTTATTTACTTAATTATTCAGTAAAACCATATGTTATTGCGACTTGGCCACTGACAGATAAGATGGAAAATGTAAGCCAAGAGTGTGAAACACTGTCACTGTTTCTGCACCACAGTCCATTATAAACCACATTATAGATAAAGTTTATACAAACACTGACAAGGGAAACATGTTGATTCTCTTTGTGATTATGGACCATCGCCAAAACTGCCTGCAGCAATAATATCTGGCCCGCTGCCAGATCATGGTGCTTTGATAGCGGCAACACATAAAAATGAATAAACTTTGATAGCGGTGATGAAATAGATCTCAGTCATGGTAGCAACAGTTACTCACATAATCACTGCCTCTTTTGTGGTTTTGCCTACAATATAAAAGCGCAATAAGCTTGTTAGCTGTAATGCAGTGTTTGGAGTTGAATTTAGCGCTTTTACTTGAAAATACTGAATGACATTAAAAAGTCTGTAGCCTGCTTGACACACCTCTGAAAGAGCCGTCAGAAAACATGATTCCCCTAAATGCACTCTGCCTGAAGATACTGGGGAAATGAAAAAGCGTCGGTTGTAGGTTGATGGATGCGGATAAAACACCGAAACACACACACTACAGCCCATGCAGTAATGTTAGGAGAATCCATTTGTTGGAAAAAAAAACAAATTGTCCCAAGGTGGGATCAAACACACAACCCTCAGGTTACAAGTCCTACACTGTACCTGCTGAACTAACCATATTATATTCTCTCCTACCATCTAATGGTTGCTCCAATGCAAAACTTATTTGCCGACCCCTTCTGTATATTATTACTACTTCTTCTTCTTCTTCTTCTTCTTCTTCAAACATAAATATTCAACATAGTGATGAGTGTCTACACTGCCTGAATTCTACCAGAAGTAGAACAAGAATCGTAGTGAACGCTCTGTAGTCCGTTTTGGGCTACTATAGAAACATGACGATGAACGTGGCGACGTGCATGTAAGGGGGACCCGCAGTTATGTAGATAAAAATGGCTCATTATAAGGTAATAAAAACATAACGGTTTAATATGTAAGGTCTTTACACACCACTGAAAACATAGTTACGGATCTTATGTTACATTTCTGTCACTAGATCCTCAGAATTGGACCTTTAAGATAAAAGCAATTTTTAAAGTCGAGATTTTTTGCAGTGGGAATTGCCTTGTGTCTTGTTGCCAGGAGATTTGTCATCTGTTCTGTATTATAAAAAAAACCAACAGTGCTTTTGTTCAGGCCATGTTAACATGGCAGCCTTGGCCTCAGCACGTCCCCCTGGCCTTGCTATGGAAAATAGACTATTGTGTCACTCTTGCCAGCTGAAAGGCGGGGACGTCTGCAGAAATATGGTTGATTACGTGTGGTGCCATTTGAGTACCTTTTTTTCTTACTTACTAAGTCTGTATGAGGATGCTTTCAGGAGTCTTTTTTGTTTTGCCATGTGGAATTAGGTATTGTATGTCAGACTGTATCATGGTCAAATGTTGCATTAACCAAGCCAGAATTAAGAATCTCATCTGAAATGTCATACAGTATTACTCAATTTATTTGTAATGTGTAATGTATATTTTCAGGATCCAAATATGTAATATACCGTATACATAATATAACAATACTAATATTGGCTACAAAATATTCATCAATAAATGTATTATGGACAAGAGTTTCTGTATGTGTGCATTTTCTAGTTTTGCCACCTTGGAGAACAGTGGTCTTCTCTTCTACAATGGACGCTTCAATGAGAAACATGACTTCATCGCCTTGGAGATACAAGACGGACAAGTGGTGCTCAAATATTCCACAGGTACTATATCTATATCGAGTGAATGTGTGTTGTATTATTTCTCTATTTATAAGGACCATATGTTATTATATTATAATTACAATTGTGTATTCCATTAAATTAATGTGTTTCTTAGATGTGTTGTATGACCATTTTAGCCTCATTCTTTCAGCTGCAAAGGTGGTGTGTCAGCTTTTCGACATTAAAAGCCGCAGGCACTGAATAATAAGTGGTTCAACTGACTTTCAAGAACTCTTTATCACTTCAAAAATCCGATTAATTTATTTAACACACTCAAACATTTTCCAAACATTGCCATAAATTAACTTCATAGAGTAATGAAATGATAAATCCATCCATGACACAAAAAGTGCATAATAGCAAAAGGTGGGGCAGTACATATAACCAGTCTCCAAAGTTACCCTTTTAGTTTAATATGAATTTGTTTATTATACTTTAGGTTGCATTTCTTTATTGTATAATACTGTTTCTGGTAAAACAAAAATGATAGTACTCTTTAAAAAAAAGAGTCTGTCTCTGTAGGGATCCTTTCCACAATGTAACCTGCTCCGGCGCAGGTTAGTTATTCAGCAAGTTACCACGGCGATATACCCTGGTAAGAATTGAGCCACTGTCATAGGACTGAAAACACAGGGTTAAACATTAAGTTACCTTGCTAACCTCAAATTCTGCTTCGTAGTACAGGCCCCTGACCTCCCAGAGCTCAACAACAGAGCCATAACACGGCTTTGGCAGGAGTTTTGTCCCCTCTGGCATAGCAACCCTATGTCCACTGTATTTGATTAGTGTATTTGTATGTCTTTCATGTGAGACATCAATATGTGCAGATTGTGAAAACAAATGTCTCTCCTGGGACAATAAAGACTTACTACTTGCAAGTACAGAAATTGCTGTTATTTGTACATATTATACATGCACACATGTGAGGAAATGGTAGCATATGAAATAGAGATAGGCATTATGATGATCATAATACATGTTAATAGGCCTATATAGGCCTATTATAGGCCTATTATAGGCCTACTACGGAAGCCCTAAGCGGCCATCAATACAAATATATTTTTTACTCCGTTTTCCCGTGATAACGGGATAATTTTCTCGAGATAAAAAACCATAGCTGAATACAGGGGTTAGCAGGTGCGTTTTTTTAGGATAATTGCAGAAAAACTTTCAGTGCACAGAGGACAGGACTCGTATTCCAAGGATTGTGTGTTCGACTCCTGCTTTCAATTACTTTTTTTCTTTTGTGCTTCAAGTTGTCATGAAGAGATTCAGGGGAATCCAATCACACATTTCCCTACGGCTATTTTAAAGGTTCTGAAATAGCCGTCAGGAAATGTGCATTGTTACCTGGATTCCCCTGAATGAGAAGCGCAGGAATTTCCTCTGCCTGGGAATGATGGGTGAATGAAAAGTCCATTGGTTGATGGATGTGGACCAATTGCTGGGATGCACACAGACCAGCACGTGCTTTATTGTGAGCATGTGAAACAGTCTCTTCATAAGAACTTTGTTGACGAGGATTATGAAAAATGTTCTTCAGTGAAGATCAAACACGCAACCCTTAAACTATAAACCCTGTGTTCTGTCAGCTGAGCAAGCCAGTGACACTAAAATCCACCTGAAGTTATCTTTAAGAAACGTCCCTGCGGACCCCTATGTTAAACTACTGGTTTGTAATCTCGAGACCATGAGAAAATGATCCCGTTACCACGTGAAAACAATATTTGTTATTTCGAGATATCCTGTTATTACGGGAAAACAGAGGGAAAAAAATCTTTGAATCAATGGCCTCTTAGGGCTTCTGTATCCTACACGTTTTGTGTGTGTTTTATATATTATGGCATGTAAAAACAAAAAATGAACTAAAGCAGCAGTAAGCTGTTTTAATAAATATCCATTTGTATATACCTATTAATTATTTCCCGCTTAACTTTTGACAAACTTTTCATCCGTCTGCCTGCAGGTGAATCGTCCACTCAGGTGAGTCCCTTCCTGCCTGGGGGTGTGAGCGATGGCAACTGGCATACTGTTCACATCCACTACTACAACAAGGTGGGTTTACATATCAGTTTGTTTGTGTGTCTTGGACCATTTTGATTTTTGATCTTACTTTTGATCTTTCATTTTGTGTTTCAGTCTATTTGATCAGTTATCCTTTGAAGTTTTGCATTTTACTTTCCGTACTGTACTTCTCATGCATCGGCAGAATAGTTTATCTGCCTTCATGCTGACAAAGCACTTTGACTTGAGCTAAAGTGTTGGTGTGTATACTGTTATGTGGGTGTGTGCTTGTCACCATTTCATTCATGCACATTCACCACACATCTCCTTTAATTTTCTTCATGTTCTTTCATTTTCCTCAGCCAGCAACACGCTATGTGAGTATGAGTGTGTGTCAGTATGCACATACACTGTCTTTGTTCTTTGTTTCTTTCTTTTTCTCATTCTGTCTTTCTTTCTTTCACCAGCAGACAGTAAGACTGAATGTGTAGTCTATTGTAGCTTTTACTGCATTATCTTACTAACTCAAGTTTCCCCTTTTCCTTCTAACATGATGGGCAGTGGCAGCATAGATACAAAATATAGTCTGATGTGTTGGAAATGTTCTGCTGTAGTGTATGACTGCAATGATATAAACTCTAGATTTAGTAAATGCTGCGTGTTTCTTGCATGTTGTCTGGTGTAATGGTGTTGGTTCTGGTTTCTTTGGACTGTGTATTCAATCTTGTGTTTGTGTGTGTTCAGCCGAAGCGCAGTATGAGTGGCGAGGCCCAGGGTCCGTCAGATGAGAAGATCGCTGTAGTGAGTGTTGACGACTGTGATACAGCCCTGTCTCTTCGCTTCGGTACGCAGCTCGGAAATTACAGCTGTGCTGCACAGGGCAAACAGACCAGCAGCAAGAAGTGAGTTTATCTTTCTTTTAGCTCTCTAACTTTTTCCCCCTGTTTTGATACCTGCGAAGGAAATACTTGTGAGCTGGTCAACTCTTATTGATGAAGAAGGTTTAATGTCATGGCTCCACAAATCTGAAAAATTGCCCCCACAATAAAGACATCTTAGTCTCTTAAATGGTAGCTATTCATCTGATCTGAAAATAATACAATTACAGTTGCTGTCAGAGCACTGTTGCCCACAAAACTTACCAATAATACATAACTACATTACAGTATAACACTGTCTTTGTAATAATATAATATAATATAAAATACAAAGGCGGTTTTAAACTGTACATTGGCACTGGCACCATGTAATATAGCTCAATCTTGTGTCGTTACTATCACAGCTGAATTTCATATGGAATTAATCATCAAATGAATTCCATCGTTTCATGTCTGACATTTATGAGTAGCAAATGAAATAACTGACTCATAAAGTTTAGTGAAAACATTTATTCAGCTAAAGTAATTAGTAAGTTCATTTAGTTCCTTGATCTCATTTACCTCCAGTGCAGCAACTGAAAGACGCTGAATAGTAATAGACCATGAGCTTTGGGTGGTGTTTATACAGGATCTGCTAGCTTCTTTGCAAAGACAAACTTCATTGAACATCATCTGTTACTGAAAGGTGGGGTAAGCATTTTTAATCAAATACACGTATTTTTGTCAAATTCATGAACAATACATCCTCACGTTCCGCTAGCTGTCCGTTCAAACAAACAAAGTGGCCCACACCCTGCCCCACAATGTTAGCTATAGTAGCAGAAGAGTTGTGAGTAATGCTGTCTGGAGCCTGTGTGCTGGCTCTGGGACCTTCTCATCCTCTTAGCTTCCCATCAGCAACTGCCACAGTTGGCTAACACACAACCTAGCAAATGTTAGGTTTGCTCTACATCATGTTATTTGTCAAGTAACTGGATTTCTCCTGAATTGCTTACCCCACCTTTACAGTTTTTCTCAGCTGCTTTAGCACATTTCTCAGATCAGAATTGAAATTCTCAAAACTACTTGTTCAACCTCCACATCATCTTGTCACTTGTGCACATCATAAAATCAATTTCTCATTGTTTTGAACAAATTGAAAATGGTTTGACATATTGATGCAAATGATTATGTATAATTGTCTGCTGTTTTCTACATTATCAATTGATTATGTCATGCTGATCACAATGTATTATACCAGTTCTCTGTTAAATAGGTGTACCCCAAATACTTTGTTCTGTTGAAATTAATATGCCATATTAAAAAAGGTCTCGTGCATTTTCAGTCATCGTCATCAAAACCTTAGCCATAGCTTACATCAGAAAATACTTACAGACTACACTGTTTTATTGACAACACGGCTTAACTAATTTCTTGAACACTCTCTTGTTCGTAAACAGTGACACAAGGACTTGTCATTCTGATGGCACTAACACGTTCACTGACATAAAGATTTACTTTTGAGACATAGACTAAGGATTTTAAGCAAGTTACGGGTTTTTGCAGGTAATCCACTGTGTTGTGCTGTTTGTACTACCTGTTGAAATGCCCTTACTGTTTTGCAAATGTTAAGGATGATTCCAAATGTACCAAAGCAACTGAGAGAAACTGTAACAGATTTTACAAGGCAGTTTTCACTGGAAAGAAAACTGATAAGGCTGGTCAGTTTGTGTAACAGCACACTGGTCAGCTGGCAGCTGTTGATATGCAGGTTGCTAGATCATATAAAAAGGTAAATGTTGATTGGTGGCATTTTATTAACCTTTAATTCATTCATGGAAGTTTTGCTGAGTTGAAGCCTTACTTTTGCAGGAACACCCTGATCACATTTGCACAGTTACACAGAACCCAGTACAGCAGTTAGCTGCTCCACTGGACCAGCCACTACAGGGTGGTAATGAGAGAGGAGCAACACAGATTTCACCACACAGATTTATCCTATTGGTCCGGTGATTGAACAGACGACCTCCCGGTCACAAGCTTGCTACTCTAATTTTTAGGCTACCACTGCCTGGCTTTGATTAGCATGCCTGTGAACTAACTGCTGTATTAGACGGGCGGTTCATTTACAAACAGTTGAAGATGTGCCCACTACTTTATAGCATGAAACCAATTGGCTTAGTGTCAATATAGTTTATATAAGGACATTTATTGCCTTTAGAAATGACACAATCTATTGGAAAAAGCAGTTTATTGTTTTTTAATATATATTGTTTATTTCCTCTGTTTTGGAAGGGATGTTTCCCATCAACTCTACATGTTGATCTCTCAATAAGCTCTGTGCAGGTTTGATTTCTGCCCGAGGTCCTCCAGATGTATAATAGCAGTTGCTTGCTACTGGGTAACAATAAATTATGTTAACATGGAACAGAGAGAGTGATTTGATCTAATTGAAATGTACATGCTGACTTAATGGGTCATTCTCCTGAAAATTAGTTTTAAATTATCACCTTAACGTCATTCAGAATTTCACAATATCAGCGTGATTTAAACAGACTTGTTAGCTGATCACTGTTTTAAAATAAAAAAAAGTATGTGTAACACGCCATTAAATATAGATTTAAGCAGTCTAATCTGGCAAACTCCTGCTAAGATTTTGACTGAGACTGTTGCTGTTGGAAAGGATTTTGGGGCATGTCAGATCAGGGTGAGGAGGTGACTGGAGGAGAAATCTATGGGGACCTGAAGCTTTAATGAGCGCGACTGTTTGACGTGTTCATGCTCCTTCATGTCTGTCTGTATCTCTCTGATGGTCTTGTTACCCGTTGGCTCATTCTGCCTGCTGTTAATGTTCAGTTTCTTTTCATAACACTCTGCTTGTCTGTGTCGTTCCGTGTCTCCGTCTCTCTCCCACTCATTCTCTTATAGCTGGCCAAAAAATTCAGATAGACAGTTTTACATCCACTACGTTGCTTTTAGGTGTCTGTTCTGTTTGACCGTGTCAAAGTTTTGTTGTCCTACTACTTGTGGTGTGTGTCTGCCAAACTTAATGTCTGCATGTACGCCAACGAACAACAATCACATCTATACACACACATTCACTTAAAAAGCAGCTTGTCATAGCGTTGATGTCAGGCCTCGCCTTGTAAGCTGTAATCACATTGGCTGTGTTCTGTCAGTGTTAAGTGAGGCTGAGACAAGAGAAGACTGATCAAAGAGGCCAAAGACTAACACTTCAACACTCTCTTCAGCCGTCTCTTCTCCATTTCTCCGTTAACAGCTTGCCCTCCTCTTACTCTGTCTTGACATCTTCTTCTAATGATGCTCTGTGTTGATGTTCGCTGTAACTCACACTTAATCTCTTGTTTGTTCGACTCTGGCGCCTTTTGTCTCTTAAAGTTCCTTCAATTCATATTCCCCTGCCGTTTATTGGCTTTGGCACGTGACATGCGTCGAGCTTAAAAGAAAAACCACGACTCACACTGGAGGGGAAAAAAGAGAACGCTCTCAAAATGATAACACAACTGTTTCTCTCTCTTCCTTTTTTTCTGGCTCATGTGGTTATATGGAACTGTTATTTGCTGTCCCCTATGTCGTCCTCCTCACATTAATTTTGCCGTTGATTATTTCACTCTACACGTCTTCCATCTGCCTTGTCTTCCGCCTTTAAACTCGCTCCCTCTTGATATTTGCTGTAACTTAATCTCTTGTTTGTTCATCTGTCTCCCCTGCTGCCTCCTCATCTCCCTTTTGTTGTTGCTGTTTTTAGTCTCCTTTTTATGCCTGCAACTCTTCTACTTGTTGACATCCCCTAACATCTACCTCCTTTCACTGCTGGCTCTTTCTCCCTCTGCCTTGTCATCCATTTTTACCTCTTCTCTCCTGATATTTGCTGTAGCTCATATTTAATCTCCTGTTTGTTCATCTGTCTATCAGTCTGTCTCCTTTACTTTCTCGTCTTTTCAATTCCTCTCTTCTCCTGCTGTTTCCACTTTTACCCTCGACAACATCATCATCTCATTTCTCCTCAACATCCACTGTTATTCTCTGATTCTTGTTCCTTTTGACATTTACCTCTGATGACACATCTGGTTTGTTTAATCCCTTTGCCTTTCACATACCCTCTTTTCATGTTTTTTCTTTTCTTACCCTCCCATCCTTCATCTCTCTCCTCTCGCTTCCCCTACGTCCATGAGGGATAATCCCCCATTCCCTCTTTATTCTCATTTTCTCTTCACCTTATTTACTTCTCCTCTCTCAGGTCTCTGGACCTGACTGGTCCATTGTTTCTGGGTGGAGTTCCCAATGTACCAGACAACTTCCCATTTGGCACCAGGGAGTTTATCGGCTGTATGAAGGAGCTGCACATTGACAACAAGCCGCTGGACTTGGCTGGCTTTATCGCTAACAATGGAACGCTCCCTGGTCAGTACTGCTAACCATATTTCTCCCCCATAAAAAGCATGAGCACTGACACATTTACAATGTCCACAAATGCCATTTTGCAAAGTTCTTTTCTTAACTAAACAGATATAAAGTATTAATTGAAGCATCAGTTTCAATGTTCTACAAACCACATGCATTCTGTCTGATGACCGGGCACTTATATTGCTTTTTATGACCATTATATGAAATAAAGGATAAAGTAATAATATTTTCCCAGTATTTTCTACATGCTACCTTAGTTACCACTATAGTGTTAGTGGGAGAGTAACAGAAATTGTTAATGATGGATTTAAGTTCAAATACGAAAAAACAAAGTTGGATGCTTCTGTAAAGTCCGTTTGAATCTTGAAAACCTACTATAATAATAAGATTTTATTTATACAGCACTAACAGAGTTACAAAGTGCTATACAAGGTTAAATACACATTAAAAATATTTAAAAGCAGAGACAAATTGAATCAAGCAGCATAGAATTAAATACGGTTAAAGGGATTTCAACATCTGTGACACAGATAAAATGGACATATAGGTCAGGATAGAAATGGAAGGAAGCACTAAAATTAATAAAAGGCTGTTTTGTAAAAGTATGTTTTAAGAAGTGATTTAAAAGATGTTACTGACCAGAGGTGAGGGGCTGTAATTGCAAAAGCCTGGTCACCTTTAGTCTTTAGCCGACTTCAGAACAGCTAAAACGGCCCTGCCCGAGGATCTAAAGCTGGGCTCCAGCTAATAGGGGAGCAGCAATTCAGCAATGTAGCTAGGAGCATAACCATGAAGTGCTCTAAATGTGATCAATAAAATTTCAAAATCAATTCAATTCAGTCTAAGTGCAACTGGAAATGTTTAGCTAGAGCTGATAATGTGAGGTGTTTATATCATGATTTATCAGCTTACCACTGCATTACGTTTCATTTTATGCATTTGCTGAGACACACATCATGGTGATACATTTTTGGAAACTTGATCGATGATGCAACTGTCTCTGTTGCTTCTACTAGGCTGCAGCGCCAAGCTGCCTTTCTGTAAGTCCAATCCATGTCAGAACGGAGGAACCTGCAGAGTGAGCTGGGAGACCTTCTCCTGTGACTGTCCCCTAGGGTACGGAGGGAAGGACTGCAGCCATGGTGAGATGCTATATGAGTTTGTTTTTATCCTAGGGTCCTACATGTTGTATTTTCAACCAACGGCAACTTTTAACAATGTCATCTATTGCCCCATTTTGATATAATTATCAATAAAACGCAAGACCATGGTGATGTTTTTAAAGTGCAGCAAAATGACTCTGATCTCATCTTCAGTTTATTTTTATATGGATGCTCATTAATTGGTGAATAATTGGTGAAAAAAAGCTATAGTAATGTTATAACTAAAGTTCCACAGAAAGCAGCATAAAAAAACTCTGCAGGCATTCAACATATTCGCGACAGCCCTGTGAATATAAGTGCAATGCATGTTCATGGATGGTTTGATGGTTGGGTGAGTGTCGACCTAAATTAAGTTATTGACAGAAGGGAAAGAAGGGAACTTTTGTTAATTGGAAACTGCAGCACAGCACACTGAGACTGATAGTATCAAGGGGTACTGCACATGTGAACTAGTTATTACAAGCTGGATATCTGGCTGTATTTTCGGCATCTAACCGCACCTAGATAAAAACTGATTGATTCCTCACATAAGTGGACCTTTTGTAGCCCAGGTGGGCTCAAGATGTTAGTTTTACTTATTTACATGTACTTGTGTGTTGTGCATGTGTTGAATGCAATTGCGATTAACCCTTGGGGGGGAAATCATGTAGTTGTGTTTTTGTAAGCGCAAATTACAGGACTTATTTTGTGCTTGTGTGCCTGTTAGTATAACACAACAGGATCCTTATCATCATGATGGAAAAAACAGTCAGCACATCGAAAAAAGAGAATGTCATGTTTTAAAATGAGATGAGAGAGGGATTTAGAATGACATGTAGCATGTCAACAGGTCACCAGCTGCTTGCAAACCTGGGACACAACATTTGCACACAACACGTGAAAAATGAAGACATCATTTTCAAAACCTTAAATAATGTATAAAGCCTCTACTTCTGGTACAATAGCAGCTCAAAATCTATATAGCATCTCTGAATGAACTGATCATTGAAACATTGAGAAACAGCTCATTTATTGTAATTTGGGTAAAATAGATCAACCACAGTTAATTCCAGTCTCAGCCAGAGACGTGTACAGGTGTTGAAGTCCTTTCAATTACGTACACAATGCAGTAAAAAGCCTGCGATGGACTGGCGACCTGTCCAGGGTGTACCCCGCCTTGCGCCCGATGTCAGCTGGGATTGGCTCCAGCCCCCCCGCGACCCTGTACGCAGGATAAGTGGTTGACGATGGATGGATGGATGCAGTAAAAAGGGGACTTTCTGGAGTTGAGTTTATCAAATGTGGATACAAAACAACACAAAAGAGGAGAGAAAGAAAGAATAATTTCCAAACAAGGGAGAGGAAAAGTTGGGCGAGGGGGAGGAAAAGGGCCAGGGAGAGGAATAGCTGAACCAGCTTAAGTGTTTCTATCCAGGTGCATAGTGTGAGATGACATTAGATGTGATGGATGAGAACATGTGGCCAGATGCTGAAGATCATATGGATTAGAACAGGACTGTGCATTTTTGTTTCTTTCCCTTCTGTGCATTTTTTGGCAGCAGTCAAAGATATACAAGTGACAATAAAATCAATAGGGTAAATACCTCGGGATAGAAGTAAGAGTTAACGGATAGTGCAATCAATACAAGAGAATTGTAAGGAGATAGAAGAAGAAGAGATGAAGAAGGAAGTACAGAAGTTAGGGGCTAGACGTGTTATGAAAGGAAGTGTTCTCACAAGCGATGAGTTAGAAAGGGACACCCCTGCTCTCAAGGCATGGGGTAGCACGTTCCACCATTGTGGTGTTACAGATGAGAACAGAGACTGAGATTGCTTTGTGCTTAGGGATGGCAGAGCCAGACGGCGTTCGTTGGAGGAGCGCAGTGACCAAAAGCCACATAACTTGGATTGTTTGTTGATCACTGGCTGCAATTTCATGTTGCTAATAAAGCTTTTACTTCTGTAATTCTGTTGCTTACAATTTTTTCCTACTGTACATTCTATAAAGTAAAGATGACTCTTTCACTTTTACATAGTTTGTTGCCAAAAATAAAGGGTGGTTTTACAGTAAAAGGAAACAGAATTACAAAACAATAAATTTCACATAGTTTAACTGTATGCAGGTAGAACTGAAACATGAAAAGTAAAGCAGCTTTTGTAATGTTTTATTTAGAAAGTCATTGTGCTGTGATTGATTCATCTGTTCCTCTTGGAAAGAAAATGTGCCAGTGTTTTGTTGGAATGATTTGATTATGAGTCAGGTTTGCTGTGTTTTGATAGAGTTTGTGTATGTAGAGAATGATTTTTTGCATTTTGAAATTTAGAGTTGGTGTTTAAAGAACAAAATGTGGTTTTGAGCAGAAAATGTGCCATTTGAATAATTGTGTGAGGTAGGCGTGTTGCTGTGTTAAGAGTTTCAATGAAGTATCTTAAGTTTAGGTAAACGCTTGTTAGCAATTGAAAAAAACTGTAAGCTGATTCAGTCCCAGGACAATAACATCTTGGGGCTGTTAATATTGCGGTAACCTTTGTTCACTTTTTTTCTCTCACCTTCCACCTCAGTGATGCCACACCCCCATCGCTTCCTGGGTAACAGTGCCCTCTGGTGGGACCTGAAGAACGACGTGACCATCTCCACGCCCTGGTACCTCGGCCTTGTGTTCAGAACCAGAGCGCAAGAAGGGACATTGTTGCAGGCCCAGGCTGGCCAGTACACCAGCCTGCTGTTCCAGGTGTGCACACACACACAGACACACACACACACACACACACACACACACACACACACTCACACACTCACATTGCAGTCATCCATTTTCATGTCTTTTACTTCATTTGAACTTAAAAAATTTGTTACCAAATGCGACCATGACTGAGATAATTGTCATCTTTCAAATCACACCAGACAATGGCGTTTCTGAAAACAAGACTACTTTTTCATTGTTACCAGCGCCTCTTTCTGCTTCTCTGACTGTGGGTTTTGGCTCTGCTGAAGAGGATAAACATGAAAGTGTTTTTTCTGCCTTTCACCATTGCCAGCAGCTTAGAAAGCATTAGCTGCATTTATACCAAAACATAAAAGCCAACACTTTACTATTTTGCACCATAAAGAATTTGATATTGTACTTTAAATCAATGCTGCACATTTTAAGCCAAATCTCTACAGGTGGCACATGATATAAAAAGCCTCTTGGCCTGCTAAATCTGTTGCGTTCATGTGTTCATGTTGATTATTGGCATTATACTTATGTCAAATATTAATGTGGCTTTATCTTCTATATAAGACAAAACATTGTTCATTTTCTGGTTTTGTCCATGGAATTATATACAGGTTAGGTTTCTTCACACTTCCTGTTTACCTCTCTTTTTTTCTGGTGTTTGCCTGTGTGTGCATGTATTCCTCCATGACTCTCAGGTGATAAATGGTCAGCTGGTGTTCTCCGTGACCCGCGGCTCGACCAGACCAGTGCGTTTGCGGTTGGACCAGGTTCAGGTGGCAGACGGCCGGTGGCATGACCTCCAGCTGGAGCTGCGAGATGTCCGCAGTGGCCGCGAGACACGCTACGTTGCCACACTACGGCTTGACTTTGGACTCTATCAAGTAAGAGACGTGATTAAAACCTTGAAGGGATGCAGTGTAACATGTTTTGTTTTCATGCTGATTACATTCTGGAATTATCTGCCAGCAAGTTATGTCGTTCATCTTTTTATTGTAGTTCTGTTATTCTTCAAAGTACATCAAGTAAAACACACATAGATGGGGCAGAAAATATTTTAAAATATGAAATTATTAAACATCTTAGCTGCTAATTAAAAAGTAATTATCTTTTTTTAATTTTTTAGCATTTGCGCAGCTATAATCAGCCAGATCTCATCCTCCATTTTAGGATCCGCTGCTGCCGAAACACTGATAACTGGGGCTCATTGATTTTCTTGTCATGGTTGCTGGAAGCTAAGTTGCCTGTCAGCGTGTTTTCAGTTGACGATTGACCTGCTCCACCATGTTTCAATGTTATTGTTTTCTTTTATTTAATAAAGTCAATCATTCACTCTGTAGTTCTAAAACCATTTTCCCGCACGTTCACACTCTCCTCCCTTCAACTGACAAAAGGTCCATTATAACCTGGCTACTAGTGGTAAATGAAAATATAGAAGAATCATGACTTTACTATATAGTTTTTGTTATTTTCATGGTGTAAACTAGTACAATTTGATTGTGTTAAGTTTTTACACAAGCCTTGGTGGCTGATAATCCCTTTCCTTCCATGTGACTAATTTGTTCATCCCTTAAACCTGTTGACTACATTGATATTTGCAAATCAAATAAATTACTCTTCTACGTGATCAAATAATCGTATTCAAATTTGCTCCTTGTGTATCTTTGTTCTGGCATTCTGTTTGCATACAGCTTTTAATGATAATAATCTTTGTCCCTCCTGTCTCCATCTGTCCCCTTACCTCTCTCCCTCTTTCTCTCCCCGTTAGGGAACAGTGATAGTGGGAAATGAGATTCATGGTTTGAAGGTGAAACATCTGCATGTGGGAGGAGTGCTGGGCTCCGGAGAAGTTCAAAATGGGATAAGAGGATGCATACAGGTGAAGATTGTTGAATACAATTTTTAATGTTTATTGATGGTTAGCTGGAAATATTAGGACAACATAAGCAGCATAAGAGATGGAAAAGTGGTAAGGAACAATTTGGATTAGGCAGATTTAAATAATTGAATGAAGCTGCCAATTTCTTTTGTTGAACTCCCCTCTCTCTTTCTACAGGGTGTTCGGTTAGGTGTGCGGCCCGATGCCCCTCCCTTGCCCCGCCCATCGAGAGCTGTCAAAGTAGAGACTGGCTGTAATGTTGGCAACCCCTGCGTCTCATCTCCTTGCCCTGCCCATAGCCGTTGCTCCGACCAATGGGAGCGGCACACCTGTGTCTGCGAGCCTGGTGAGTGAACAGAGAGACTTGAACATCTTGTCATTAAGGAAGGGGGCGCAACATATTCGCAACCGACATGTCGTAAATTAACATGCAATATTATGAGGCTCTTCAGTGTCCAGCCATTTTGTGCGATTTACTTCTTGTTCTGGAAAAATTGATTATTTTTCTCATTTATGTAATGACACCATTTAATAATACAAACAGCAGAGGAGGAGGGATGCTGTTATGATTATTATTATGTTATGATCAGCATTTTAGCTCCCGCAGGCTTTCAACACAGGCCACACTTCTTTTTCTACTGTCTGCTATTACTATGTCAGTTCTCGTTTAACTGCACCATTAGTGATATGGTACGCTTTGGAGAATGATGTTGTGTGACTGTGTGATTGGCAGCAGGTTTTGTTGGCACGCCATTGGTTAACAGTTCTAGCTCCATCATGGATTATTACAGGATGTCTGTAACCAGACTATAACATTTGCCATGTGTTAAGGTGTTTTAGTGTTTATTTTGTAGATTGTCTGTAACTTGAGGTTAGCATTTTGCGCTGCTAATGTGGCTACTCCCACAGGCTGAGGCGATGTTGGACTGCTGCCCTAACCCTTGCTATCATTCTTGTTCTATGGAAGCCCATTCTCTGTGATCCTTGCTGTGTGTGTGTGTGTGTGTGTGTGTGTGTGTGTGTTGCTACTGTGTGTCAATTGAAATGGTCAAACTGCACGAATTAATTTGCAACGTTGTGCAACTTTGATTAGCACCCCTTTTAGGTTTACCAGGTACAGTAGAGTGCACTCAGTTCGCTGTGGCAGATTAAGTTAATCTAGAGATAATGTGCTGATTTTCCAAAAGTTTTTGTGTGTAATGTTTTTAAAATGAAGTAGTAGCATAAACATAAGTTGTTAAACAAGACAGAAAAATGTTTGTAATGTGTTTTTAATGAATTGATATTAGTAAATTGTTTTGGTTACTATTTTTTGTTTTAGATTTCAAGATTATGTTATGATCAGCATTTTACTCATTTTTGGGGGCATTTTACAGGCTAAACAATTCATCAATTTATAAAGAAATTGGAGCTAAATGATAATACAAATTTTTTTTGCCAATTTATTACTGTGTATGGCTTAACAAATTAAAGACGGATTTTAAGCCTAGGAACAATTATCATGACTGCAAATCTCTTGCATCTCATAGTGTTTTGACTTTTGACAATGAATACATAAAAAAAAAAAACTGTGTGACAGCCAAGAACAATTTTCCACTTCAGTCATGCAAGTTAAATTGCATGTGCGCTAAACTCTGCGCCAGGGAAGTGGTCATAATATTTTATACCCTGGACTAGGCATATAAAGAAAAGAGGTGTGAGAGGAGAAGTTGAAAAAAGCCAGCTGACTTAGAGAGAGAGAAAAAGGGAATAACAACCTGGCCATATCTGCGTAGGAGTCTGCCAGTGCTCTAACTGGGTTAAACAGATATTTGGGAATGCATAATTAGTTCTCATCCACAGAGAGAAAGAGACTGACTGTAGGCTAACTTCCAAAATCTCCTTAGTCAGGTGAATATAATGAGGCAGAATTAATGTGGAAGAAAAAACTTCCAACTGATTAAAAGAGAATGAGAGGAGAAGTAAAAAAAATATACTGTATAAAGAGAAGTAGTGTTAGGAAGAAAAGAAAAAAGAACAATGGAAAGATGAAAACAAGGCAGAGGAGGAACAGAGACTGAAAATGTTAATGATTAATGAAGAGAAAGAGGCGGGTGACAGAAATAGTGTACAAACAACACTAGATTTTTTGAGGCAAGAGGAAAGAAGAGAAGAAAGTCAAGTCAAACAGCCTGAAAACTCTGGTGACATGTTTGGGAATAGATTCCCGCACAACTGGCATATGTGCACACAGACGCACAAATCATAGAAGCGAGAGAAAGTGAACATGACAGGCGCACACACAACAGAGGTTGAAGAGTGATATTTGGTATTTATTTGGAACTATATTAGCAGCTTCTGATGCAGCAGCTGCAGTTCAGTTCTACTGCATTGATTAAACAGACTAGACCAGTCAAGCAGAGATGAATAAAGCAGATTACTTATTTTTAAGATTAAAGGAGAGATGAGACAAGAGCTACTTTCTTAGCATCCATCACCTTCCTTCTCTACATCTCAACCTGTGTCTTACCCACCCTCTGGAGGTATTGGGTTGTAGCTGACCTCCTTGCCTCATCATGGCTCCCATTGGTCGGATACCCAGGTACTTGTAGCTGTCTTGTATGTCTGCTATCCGGCCTTCTGGTAACTCCACCCATTTAGTCCTGATCACCTTCCCCCTCTTTGCAAACATGCAGCCACACTTACCCAGTTTGATTGACATCCTGATGTCCTAGCTGTAGATCCTGATGAGGTGGAACAGTGAGTCAGTGTCTCATTCACTCTTGGCATACAGCTTGATGTCATCCGTGTTTAAGAGATGGCTGATGGGCGCTCCACTTATGAATCTGCATCCATATCCCAGATACTCTGGTTAGGTTTGGTCTCCAAATTAAGGTGAGGATGATGAGGTAATATGAGTAATATGATGAGTAAGATATAGAATATTTTTTGTAAATTCAATAATAATATCATGAATTACTGTTGGAATTTCTTCCCTCCAACATCGGCAGGTGTGGAGGAACGGACCGCGGTGAAGTTAATTTTAAGTAGATCAAAGTTCAAAAATCCAACTTAAAACGCGGTGCAAAGCAACGTCCTCTCGCGGAAATATTACTGTAAAGTGTGGAATTCGTGACACAACAAAATAAACGTAGAGCATAATTTTGAACAATAGAACAATAGAAATAGTTTTTCTATCATTAAACGATATATATCGTCATATTGCATAGCCCTAACCCCTCATAAAATGCACTTCTCAGATACCGAATCTCACTCCAAACTAAAATAAAAAGTTGGCAGTTGTCTCTCATGGCCTGTCAGACATTTGCGGCTGAAACTGGAAATGTTGGCGTGTTGCTGAATTCCACTTGAATTAAGGCATAATTGGCAAGCCAACTTACTGACACAAAACACAGAAGAGCAAAATAGAACACCTAGGTTCTATTTTTCATCCACAAACGGCACCATAAGCTGCAAGCCAGCAGTGTGAGTCAATGTCATGCAGTATGTTTCAGCTGCAATTTGGAAATGCATGCATGTAAGGTAGAACTACCTCAGCACTAAACGTGAACTGCTGCCATTGGCTGCTACCTCTACTTCCAGATGACAGAAGAGAATCAAAGGAAAGTTTTTCAAGAAAGAAAAGTTTGAAAATAAGACCATAAGATTAAAGCAGAGGTGGAGGGAGTGAAAGAGGAATGAGAGTGTGTGTAACGTGGAGGATATAGTTTTTCTTGAGAGTGAGAGAGCCTCAGGCCTGACAACAATGGAGAGGAAGCAGAGTGACGCTACTATCCCTGTAGCATCCTGCACCAGCCCGCAAGCTAATGCTAACACCTTGACTTATTAACATGGCGCACACATGCAGAGAGGGTATACTTACACACACTGATGCCTTCACACACACACACATGCGCAAAGTTCATGTGCATGCACTGATTGTTTCACACACACATATATTCATTAACTTTCTAACATCAGAACAATGAGCATTAAAAATGTAGACTGTTATACAATGAATGCTGCTTAAAGGCAAATCAAATCAAAGTTTAATAAAAGCAGAGAGCCAAAAAAATAACAGAGAGGTGCACTCTAAATAATTCCCTTTCATTTGTGTGTTTGCATGTGTGTGTTTCAGCCTTGTGCTGAAACAACCCCAATGGGTCTGGTCAAGGAACTGATAACACCTCTGATTCGTGCGCTACAGCCTTCTAAAAACACGCGCACACACACACACACACACACACACACACACACTACAGTACAATACAGTATACACACACACTGAGGCAAGGTTCTGCATGACAAAGCACCGATACATCTGCTCTCTCATCCACTTACTGTGAGTGTTTGTGTATTTCTCGGTGAGTATACCGTATATAAGTTAGTCTTTGTTTGTCTGTATGTTTGTGTGACAGTTGCTGACACTTGCTAAAGGGTAATTCACTGCAGTGAAAAATGTATTTTAATATAATAAATGGCAGCCATGTTGATTTATGTCTGCTTGAGTTCCCTGAGATGATTTCAAAACCAACTCAATCGCATGTAAAAAACAGTGTTGCTCAGGGTTGGAGAACTCTTATATCAACTGTTACTGTAGTAATGAGTAATTTATCGGTGTTTCCTGCTTTTGTTTCGAGGCATTAAAATAATTCAAATAATTCAATAATTTCTTCAGATGGAGTTGTCAGAAAAGTGCATTATATGAGGCTGTTGTTTGGGTATGTTGTTCAGCTGCAGTTTTATAAGCTCGTACCCAGACCCAGAGTTTCAAGCTCTACTTCCTGTGTTGCTGATCAAAACTTTCCCTATGTCACCTAGAAATGTCATTTATTGATCAGGTTTGATAAAAAAAAAAAAAAAAGAAATGTGTAGGTATTGTGGCTATATAGTGAGTTTCTTTTAAACATGAAAAATCTGTTATTTGAAGTACATTCTACCTGCTTTTACAATTACTCAGTGCACACTGGCACAGTTTTTGACTTAAACGATTGTCAAGATATAAATAAGATAATTTTTTACAACATTTTTACAGTCAAACCCCACCCACACTGTCTGGTCGATATCTGAGAATAAACACTAATATCGACCTGCTGAAATTAGCAGTGTCATTTTAGAGGGCATGGCTAAAGTATTTTGTTGTTCTATTTGGAGTATTTCTTGTACAATTCCCAAATAAAACTCCCTGTTTGAGCATTTTTACACCCCCAACAATTGTTTACTTAGATCCAACCAGGAGCGGATCTTCAGAAATATTCATGGGATGGCGAGAGGATGACTTTAAGGGGCGGCAGAAATAAATGGACACATATAAGCTAATTAAATTTCAAACAATGTAAATATATACTTGAAAATATCCCCATATTA